CTAGACGTATTAAAGCTGTATGTGAGGCTAAAGGAGGTCCAACTCCATATTAAATATATTTCCTTTGAATTTAACAAGTGTTTCAATTATTTTGCTGTATATATATATATATATATATATATATATATATATATATATATATATATATATGTATTTGGGGCTTTCTCATAAAATAACTAAAACCAAGTACCCGTAGAGTGATCACAGCCATTCCAGTTAATATGATAGCCCGCGCTGTTTGAAATGAGATAGCGAGATCGTGTATGTTCTCTTTGTCATTTAACTACTTCAGGGACGTAATATTAAAATATTTTTTATAATTCAAGATACTTGCATTTAAAATGTGATCCATCATAATGGGAATACATACATACACACACACACACACACACACACACACATATATATATATATATATATATATATATATATATATATATCGCACAGTGAGTGCTCGTGCTAATAAAATATTCCTCGATATATAATACCAGAGCTGTATTTATGAATATAAAATATCGCACATTGAGTCCTGCTGGGAGTTGTGCTACCGCTGAGGAAAAATGTATATTTATTCTTAATATCTCGCTATAAGACAGTCCTTTATATTAAATATCTCTCTCCCACTATCAACCTCACCTGATTTAACAAGGGGAATGGCGTGCTCCAGCTGCGCTCAGCACGCGAAGGCTTGGAATAAAACTTCCTACTTGTATTCAAAACGTCACAAATCTATAAAATAAATGCGAATATCAGTGTATCAGTGTGTCACACTTTTTCAACTTTACCCCTAGAGGCCGTAGCCCATCAGACACCATTTTGGAATCAGGCCGACTCCGTGAACAAATTAAAAACATTCCGGCGGGATCCGGACCTGGAATTCGGAAATTATGGATTCCTAGATTTTCATTAATGCGATTGCATTTGACTGTATTTTACGTGGTTTTTAGCAACAAAGTTTTTTTTGTACGGAAAATAAGGACCTACGTACATCAAATAGTCTTTAAATTAAATGGCAGCAGAAGAATTATCGTTGAACTTTTAAGAGGTAAGCTTAAACATTAATTCAATACTTAATCTAACGATCAATTTTGATTTCTTCTGTAGTTTGTTAATGCTTATCGCATCTACTCCTTCCTAGCTATTATGATGATGGCCAAACCAAAAGTACTCTACAGGAGCTAGTTTAAATGCCGACCAATAGGGCTTCTTTTAATCTAGCATAAAATTTTAACTACCTCAAAATTTTAAGCTACCCGTAATTTTGGATACCAAAAGAAAATAAGAGTTACTCCCATTGAACCATGAAAGCAGCACTAATGACTAGTATAATATATTAATATATATTTTTCAACTCGCTTAATCTGGCAATCCTGAATCTGAGCTCAACGAAAATCGTTCCCCGTACCTAACTTTTCTAGGGCTTTTGAATGAGCTATGAATCATTGAAATCAAACCATTGAAAGAGGAAGAGATGTATGGATGCCCACACGCACAAACACACACATATATACTGTACTTTATATATAAGATTACTTCAAGGCTCGCAAGAAAATTAAATTTCGGTATTAAATGACCCATACTGGGTTGATATGCTGTTAAACAAATCAACCAACCAATTAACAATCCTTCCTTCATTCTTTCTGTGACAGAAAACTTTGGGTTTGAGATAGCCAACGTAGCATTCCAAAAGCTAAGCAGAGTAATAAGAAATAAGAAAATTTCACTAGAAACAAAGAAATGGGTACAAAGCTGCTATATAATATTTACCTTCTTGTATAGTATTGAATGCTGGACAATCTCCAGAAAGATGAAGAACAGACTTGAATCAACAGAAATATGGTTCTACAGAAGGATGCTGAGGATATCGGAGACCGAACATGTGAGCAACGACAATATTTTGGAGAAAATAGAAACAAGGAAACTTATATTTAGGATGAAACAGGTGATGTTTCTGGGACATATAATGAGGAAAGAGGGCTTAGAAAATCTAATACTCACGGGGCAGAGAGAGGGCAACAGGGACAGAGGAAAACAATGGATGGCATATTTAGTGAGCTTGACTAAATTGATGGTAAAACAGGGCCCAGGAGAAATAAAAAGACAAAGTTTATTAAGAGCTGCAAGAGACAGGAATTTGTGGAACTCCATGATCGCTTACGGCCTGAGCTAATACGGCACGTAGAGAAGACATTGGCGTATTCTTTGGGTAAATTTCTTGTCCTTCGTGTCAACCAGTAGTGTCAGGGAAGAAGGAGATGCCATAAGGTGACCGGAATATCAGCCAGGCTTGACAGTCGGAAATTAGCGTCACCCCTTGGCGAGACAGAAACAAGAGGAAAGATTAGATAACAGGACATTTCCACCATTTTGATTCTTGTTTTTCTTGAACAGCGATTGTTACCGGTAATGAGATATTTTTTTTTCTTTTCATCATTTTTTTCTCTCCTTGAATTCATTTTTTTTTATCTCTACTTCTTCTCCAATGTCTTGTTTTTCCTTCTTTTTATAAAATTACTGTTTGTCCCCTAAGCTCAGTCCTGTCACATTGTCTTCATTTTTTTCTTTTGCTTCACCTGCCCTTAGATCATAACATTTCACCTGGAGATTTTAATTAAATTAGATTACGTGTACATTGTTCTTAGTAGCTGAAACCTTAATTTCACGTGTGTGTACCCTAACGTTTATTGGTGCTGAAAATGGAATTAGTGATAAGGGCTCAAATCATGGCTATGTCTACTGCGTTAAATTTCGCTCTATTTCGCTTGGAAAAGGCATGGATATATATATTTTATAACCCAGGCTACAGGTTAAATAGTATGGACTTTGTAACCTTTTGTATCAGCAAAACTCGAAAATCAACCCTGAATTCCAAACTGGAGAAGAAATAGAAATTCAACACGGTATTATTTCCAAGATATCGTAGAAAATCATGGAAAACAGCAGGCTATACTGAACTTTCTAAGCTTGGTTGGCAATCAACCTTGGAGAAGGAACAATCTGAATTCAAAAGTGGGGAAAGAAATAGAAATCATAGCAGTCTACAGATAATAACAGGACTTTCTCGCCTTAGATGGCAACCAACCCCAGAGAAGGAACATTTTGACTTCAAAACTGTGGAGAATGTACCTAAGGAGTCAATGCAATTCACACGTTTTAAAAGACAGCTGTGGAGAGCCATGGTAAGCTTTGAGGCACGGTGGAGTAATGGTTCGCGGCTCGGATTGAGGAATCGGATAGCTCACTTAGAATTCCAGTCGAGTCCATTACGTGTTACTACCCATCTCTTCCCGTCAGCTATAGCCCTTTAGCCTTGGTTGTCAACCAGGAGAGTGGAAACTCTGAATTTAGCCCGGAACTACTCGGATTGCATTATCCTAAATTAGTATCTGTTCTTATCGGCTTAATTTTATCCCCCCCTCTCTCTCTCTTTCTCCAATTCTTTATTTCTTTCATGTTCTCACTGAAGTCAAGTAGCGTCTTTTTCCCATCTTTCCAAGCAATCAAAATGGAATTGTCCATTATTGACAGGGCGTAATGGTCGTGCAAACTAACGGAGGGAGAAAAGCACAGTTATAACTGGATAGATAAAATCGTTTCCCGCTTACGCGTGTTTTTCGTTGTCAAGTAATTGACTCACCTCCATCTCACACTCGGCCATGGGCTTGGGAGAGTAATAGGGTGTAAGCTGCCAGATAATTTCACTTCTTAATAGACCCCGACCTACTAAAAGTCGCTTTTTTTCATTTTTAAGAGACATTGTAACTTAAACTATGTTAAAAACTTAATAAATGGTTACAATTCATTAAGAAAAAAAACAAAACAAAAAAAAC